AAAAAATTAATAAATAAAATAAAAATCAGTGTTGAAAATAAAAATGTGTAATAAAAACAAGACATTAATAAAATTTAATGTTTTTAATTACAAATCACTTTTAGTTTTAACATAATTATAGGCGATTTTAATACAAAAATAGGAAAAGGAAGAGTTCTGCAACAAAACCAAGATGGTATTAGACTATATTACTAGATAAACAGAATTAAAGGTGTTCTGATCATAACCCTGTAGTTGAAAAATTTAATATTAGATTAATGAAAGTTCAGAATACAAAATGGATGTGGCCTAACTTTGAAAGAATCAGAAATAAAATAAGAAATAGCAGTGATGTTGAATAATAAATCTAAGGAAGTTGAACAACTGGTTAAAAGTACATGAATTACACTCTTTATACAGCAATTCGCTATAAAGGCCTCCTTAAAATATACCTCTATTTCATTTTATGGCCTAAACTTGGTAATTCCCCTATTTATGTTACCTAATATAACTTACCCTAATATACTGTAATAATTTTAACATTCTCTTAGTTCACCGAGAGAACATAACCTAGAATTTGTGACAGAGAGATTTTTTGTTGGTGAAAATCTTATCTTAAACCGTTTTGTTTACTTCCAAATGTATCAATTATTATAGTTCAGCTCCTAAAGCACATTTTTCATCCATCTTTTGAGGTTTTAACGTTATTTTGAGAAAGAAATCCTTGATTTAAATTTGAATTTTTCTAACTTTACTCATTGTTGAAATTTGGCGTGTACTCCAATGTATGTCTATAAACAAGAAAAGACAACGTTGAATACGAAGTTTTATTACGTTTCATAAAGGAATAAGGGAGAAATCAACGAAAAAAGAATTAAATTTTGAAGGTTAATTCCGAGAAAAATCAAGAGATGACGCTAGTTTCGAAGCAAGAATTTTGAATTTTGAAAAGGGCGCGAAGCTAAGAGCCAATCAGAAACGAGGAAAAAACAGTTGGAGTGCCGGGGTATATAAGGAGATCGCGAACAGGGAGTGAGAGAGTCGTCGTCGGACCAGCGTCGAATCCACGTCGTCAGATAGAAGAATTTTTGAAGAGATAACCTCAAAAATTTAAGATAATTTTTTAAAAAAAAGTCAAATCAACTTACAATATTAAAATAAAAAGAGAATCATCCTACAACCTATTCCAAGAACTACCGATACTTCTTCGAGATCATCCAAGACCCTATTTCCGAAGAACAAACAGTTCAATTTCCCGTAAGAAGAATCCTGTAGACAATCCAGAAAATTAGTTAGTGCCCCGAACACAAGAGACAATCCATAATCCAGATACCACATTGAACTCCAATCCTTTCTTTTTCACAGTGAGTCGGATGATAATTTTATTTTATTATTTAACATAACCTACAAAAAGAAAATTCAAAGAATCAAACTCAAAGAACAACTCACAAGAGTTTCCTATAATTTTGATCAATACTTACTTGTGTGTAAAGATTTATTAGTTTTTCTTGAATAACGTTCATTTATTTAATTCTATTTTTTTTTAACGAGTTTGATGACAATTTAAGACATCGACCATTTGTTATTTTCAAAGAACGGTTCTAACTAGTTTTATCCTACTCTCTCTCTCAAATAATAAACGGGTTCTCTCTAATATCGATATTTCAGTCGATAACCGCAGTTATTAAAGTTAATTTAGGAAAACCATTTTTTTTGTTGTTACTCATAAGACGAGTTAATTTGATTTTGTATTAATTAAATGAATTTTTTGTCGAACCTGATTAATATTCTTTTGAACCTGAACTTGCCCGAAACCATGAGTTTTTAATAAGAGTCTCATAAAATTAAAGAAACCCAAATTTATAGATTAATAACTTGTGTATAAAACAGCACAATACCTTATTTTTCAAGATTGGTTTAATAACCACTTTTGCCTTGAAGTGAAAAAATGTCTTCAGAAGAACAATTTGGATCAAAAAATTCTGCTTCTCTTGGATAACTTCCCTGGACATACCACCAATATATCGGACTTGTCTGAAGATGTGAAAATTGAATATCTGCCTAAAAATACAACTGCTATGATTCAGTCAATAATGAAACGGTAATGAAACCGATAGCAAATTGTAAATTAATAAGTTTTGGACGCAATTCAATATAAAAGATGCTGTTGCCAATATTGGCGAATCATGGGATGAGCTGAAATAAACAACATTAAACCGCGCATGACAAAAAATTTTTTTTGATTGAGTTAGTCCTGCAACTAACAACTAGCCCTGATTACCTGTTTCCAGAAATTAAACAAAACAGAGCAAAAGAAGTTGGTTTTGAGAACTTGGAAGAAAATTGTCGTAAATTTGTTGGATGCTGATCGCCAGTCACTTTCGAATGACGAGTTAATTGAACTTGCAGAGAACGAAATACTTCAATTAAAAAAAAGTTTGCCACTGCACAACTTGAAAAATTACAGCGAAAACTTGAACTGGAACTTAAATGAGCAACAGACAATAACAAACAATGATCCAGCAGAAGTAGAAACAATATGGACATATTATACAGGATCATACTCAACATATATATAGAAAATTTTTGTGCTAGAGATAAAACACGCAATAAAACTGTCAAAGACACACTACAATACATACTAATACATGACGAAAGCTTCAACATCTTAACAAACTTCTTAAAGAAGATATATTGTTCAGAAATTGCGATTGGATCCAAATCTGTATTTCAATACCTACAGAAAAGTGGAACAAACAAGTATTAGCTTGTTGAGCCATACTCTGAAGAATCATGCCCAAATTGTGCAGAACAACAATTTGGTTTCCACATGGGTCATAGAGCATAGAGGCGCTATTTTACCTAAAAATACTGCTTCAGAAATGAAGAGATCAATTAAACAATTCACCTATGTTTTATGAACTATAAAAAAGTTTTTGACCGAATAAACCAAACGGAGATAATAGATTGGACATCAAAAATTTGTACTGAGAGCAAAGGGCATTCGTAAGGATGGAAAATAAATTGACCAATAGCATACTCATCAACATCATACTCTCACCAATTTCTTCGAAAATGTACCTTGAAAAGATATCCCAAAATTAAACTAACACTAGACCTAGAAGGGTTAAGCTGTGCGTTTTTTGAAAAAATGTTTGACGTTTCAGATGCCATGTTGCAACCTTCTTCAGAAACAAGTTCGAAGTGAAACTTCAATCAGATTTATATGAAACTGCATATAAATCTGATTGGTGCAGTATTTATCGTGCTTTCGCTCTGTTTGCATTGTTTGGTGGTTCACTGGGTATTCCTCAGAGTGTACTCTAGAAGAACGGCTACACAAGAAATCTTTCTTCTTTCATCACTGTCAGTGATCAATTGTGGCAATTTGTGGCAGTGATAATAGGTTTGTGAAAGCATAAATATATGCGTAAATATAAATATATTCAATCGTGTATGAGGGTAGAAAAGATCCACACAGAAGACAATCTTCATGGCTAAAGAACGCGATGCATTGGACTGGCCTGCATTCACAATCACTGCTAAAAGCAGCAGTGAAAAGAACGATTTGTCGAGGTTGTAGATAACCTTCTATGATGACGGTACCTTAAGAAGAGAGGTTTTTAGTTTTTGACTAAGCGACAAATGAAGAATGTTGAAAGTCGTGGCATAAATTTAATCACAAATGCTAGAGTCAAAATGATGTTTCGTGTAACAATTTTTGAGGAAAATTATCTAGAGTTTGATTTTGCACTTTTCAATTGGTTTCTATTTTATATAGAATTTAAGTCTAACTAGTTTCGGCCCTTGACCATCTTCAGAAACTCTACAAATAGATTAACAACCCTCATCTTATCCATTTTACAAACAAATTTCTTAATGTTTCTTTTTCTTTTATTAAAAAAGATTACATATCAAAATCGAAATCAGATTATTAGTTACTAATTTACAAAATTAAAGTTTAAAAAGTTGTAAAATGAAGTTAAGGACGAAGTGTTACAAGTTTACAGGTTAAAATTTAACAAAAAAATATTAAGAAACTTGGGAAAAATTCAAGAATCATCATGTGGCTTAAAAATCGACGATTTTTTTTAATCAATGTGAAATGACCCAAAAAACACGTTAAAAATAAAAAGAAAGTGCGGAAAAGTGACTAACACTAGATTAACTTCAGTTATAAAACTTCTATTATATGATAACTAACTTCAGGTTTAAAATGTCAACCTCAATTTTGACATATTTGTAATCTTCATTAAAAATCCTTTAAAATGAGTACAAACACGACATATTTATCTTCAATATTAATGAAGTTATGGTCAACTTCCGGTTAAGAATGTCAACGTCAATTTTGACATATTTGTAATCGTCGTGAAAAATCCTTTAAAATGAGTCCAAACATGATACGTTTAATTCCAATATTACTCGAGATATAAGCAACTTCCGGTTTGAAATGTCAATGTCATTTTGACATATTCTTAATTTTTATAAAATGTCTTAATATTTGTCACAAAAACAAAAATATAATAAAAAAAAATCAAAAATTAAGGTTGGTATTAATATTTAAAAATTAAATTGCTATCTTCATTGTTGCTAACTTCGGGTTTAATGTTTTTTATTCCAACTTTTTTGTTTTTTGAGATAAGTGTGTTAAATGTGTTAAAATTGACGTTGACGTTTCAAACCGGAAGTGATTGTATCTCCATTAATATCAAAGTTAAATATGTCGAGTTTGGACTCATTTTAAAGGATTTTTAATGAAGATTACAAATATGTCAAAATTGACATTGACGTTTCAAACCGGAAGAGATTGTATCTCCATTACGAATCTCATTATCTCCAAATTACGAATATAATAATAAAATTAAAGTTAACATTGATAACTAAAAGATTTTTTTACGATTAAACTAACTAAAGTTATAAAACTTCTATTACATGATAACTAACTTCAGGTTTAAAATGTCAACCTCAATTTTGACATATTTGTAATTTTTATTAAAAATCCTTTAAAATGAGTACAAACACGACATATTTATCTTCGATATTAATGAAGTTATGGTTAACTTCCGGTTAAGAATGTCAACGTCAATTTTGATATATTTGTAATCGTCGTGAAAAATCCTTTAAAATGAGTCCAAAGATGATACGTTTAATTCTAATATTACTCGAGATATAAGCAACTTCTGATTTAAAATGTCAATGTCATTTTGACATATTCTTAATTTTTATAAAATGTCTTAACATTTGTCACAAAAACAAAAATATAATAAAAAAAATCAAAAATTAAGGTTGCTATTTTCATTGTTGCTAACTTCAGGTTTAATGTTTTTTATTTTAACTTTTTTGAGATACCTTTGAATTCATTTTAAAGGTTTTTTAATGAAGATGACAAATATGTCAAAATTGACATTGACATTTCAAACCGGAAGTGATTGTATCTCCATTAATATCAAAGTTAAACATATCGAGTTTGGACTCATTTTAAAGGATTTTTTATGAAATTGACAAATATGTCAAAATTAAAAGTTGAAACTTCGAACTTTTTGGTTTTTTGAAAGAAATGCGTCATGTTTGGATCACTTTAAAGGTTATTTTATGAAGATTACGTGCTACTTAGTAATATTATCACATCTTTTCAATGAAGAAAGTATGAAATAAAAAATCATTTCATTTAACTCATTTATTAATATTTTAAGTTTTAATACACATTAAATTGAGCTTCCAGGTGCATCTTTGACACTGCTGTGAGTCTACTATCTTTTTAAAGTTGGGAATGTAATTACTTAGGGCATTTCTCAAACAAGATTCTAAATGAGTATCTGTCAATGCCGTTCGGTATTTAGATTTTATTATTTTCATATCTGAAAATGCAGTTTCACATAAATATGTTGAATCACAACCTGAGTATAAATTCTCAATACATTTTCGAAAATTTGTATACTTGTCTTTCAATTTTCTTCAGATACCCTTGCTTTAACATAGATATCGTTTTGCATTTCCAACATCCATTTCGAACAAATCAGACAGTTTCTCTGCAACTTTTTCTATATTTATATTTTTTTTAAACAGAAAAGTGATAAAAAGTGCCACATCATCAATTTTTTTAAAATCTTGAATTTAAAAGTTGCTAGATTACCTTCTTTGTAAACTTTTTGCCCGGATAGAAGTACTGATTTTAAAAACTATAGTCATGATTTCTTGCATATCAATAAAATACAAAAATTAGTGATGAAAATAAAAATAAAATAATAAGATTTAATGTTTTTAATTACAAATCACTCTGTATCACAAAATATTTCTGTAAAAAAAAGTTTAATTTTAATGTTTTTTTTTTATAAAATAGGATTTATAAAAAGTATTAATAACAAATACCAATGAAGATCATTTGAAAAGGAAAAAATCTTAATCCTAAAAGTTCATAAAGTTTCGAACAAGTTACATTTCATTTTAAATCTAACACTACTACGAAAAAATGGGACAAATACACAATTACGAAATATGAAATAGAATTTGAGATTACACATTTAAGTTTATAGATAGACATTAAGTATACAATTTTTTTTTTTAAGATTGATATAAATATTNAATGATGTATAATAATTGTTGGGTTGGATTGGAAAAATATTGAGAAAAAAAATGTTGAAATAAAACTTACATTTTCGTATAACCTAAAAGTGTCAAAAAAGATGCTAGTTTAAAAATTCCTGGAAGCCGTGTTTATTGAAATTAAAGAATGAGACTTATTTTAAATTAAAGCTCATTGCTTTCTTTTTAAAATGATCTGTAATAATCACACCTAATAACCATTTATCAAAGAGATACCTTTTTGAACAACAAAATTCAACAACACCACTCTGCACTAAACTTCTAATCTCACATCTGGATGAATAAGTTTAAATATACCTAAAAACCCTACAGTGCGGATTGCGTCGTTTTTTATATAGATTCTTTCTTGTATAGTAGAAAGCGCTGTATAACAATTAAAATTAGAACTAACACTAGACCTAGAAAGTAGTCAGACATCAATATGATCAAAAATTTGTACTAAAAAAAATTGGAAAATAAATTGACCAATAGTATACTCATCAACATCATACTCTCACCAATTAGTTCCAAAATGTACCCTAAAAAGTATTCCAAAACGCAATAAGAACTAGTGAGGAAGAAATAAAAAACGCGATATATTGGACTGGCCTACAGGCATAATATTATGATAAGAGCAGCAGTGAAGAGAATGATTTGTCGACGTTGTAGATAACTCAAAACACTTTGCTGGATGAGTATATTGAAGTGCTTATTCAATTGTATGTCTAAAATATCTGGATACAATCAATGTATCTGTAATCAATATTACTAGCTACCTCGTTTCAATTCTGTTCACACATTACAGAGGTGCTTTTTTAGATTAGGTGCAATAATGTGTTATTGTGATAATTCTGGGTGTTGTAAATAAAAATAAGATATTAATAAGATTTAATATTTTTAATTACAAATCACTCTGTATCACAAAATATTTCTGTAAAAAAAAGTTTAATTTCAAAGTTTTTTTTTTATAAAATAGGATTTATAAAAAGTATTAATAACAAATACCAATGAAGATCATTTGAAAAGGAAAAAATCTTAATCCTAAAAGTTCATAAAGTTTCGAACAAGTTACATTTCATTTTAAATCTAACACTACTACGAAAAAATGGGACAAATACACAATTACGAAATATGAAATAGAATTTGAGATTACACATTTAAGTTTATAGATAGACATTAAGTATACAATTTTTTTTTTTAAGATTGATATAAATATTAAAACACTTTCAATATAATACGGTAATAATTCAAAATTAACTTTTTTTTTATAAAATAGAAACTATTTTATATTAAATTCTTCAGTTGAAAGACATTGGCGTTATATTTTTTTAACATTATTATTTAAAAATACATAAAATATGGCAGTTTTCGTTCATTAAGGCAGATTTTTTTGTTAGAACAACCACAATAATAATTAATTACTTACTTTTAAAATCTTATATTTAAAAAATGTTTTTTGAGGCTCATTTAATTAATCTAGAATTGGAATGAAAACTGGCAGCATTACATTAATATTAATGATATGAGCAAATAATACTTTTTCATCTAATTAATTGACTCCAAACAATTTTATCAAATCAATTTAGTTCAAATTTTTCTTATTACTTCAACAATCAATAAAAAAAGAACCTTGTACTGCTTATCACATCCTTAATTTTTTGTACTGATATATTTATTCCAGAAAATTTTTTTTTTGTTTAATTTTGTTTTAAGATCCAAATTTTTATTGACCAACACATTGCACTAGGTTAATTCATTAACGCCTTATAACTTAAAAATAAAAAAAAACTAAAATTAAACGCTAAACCCGACCTATTTATAAATTTATTAAAAAAAAAAATGATTTAAATTTATTTTTGTTGTTTATTCGCGTTTTGTAAATTGAACCAGTCGGGTTAGCATCGATGTTACGCAAGGTATTTGTTTTTGAGCGTGCATTTGTGGGATATCGGGGGTGTTACTCTCATAATCGAGGGCAACCCGCCGATTTACAAATGTTAATAACGTTAGGATGTCTGCGTTGAAGCCGTTATGACGAAGTTCTTCGCAAAGCGATTGAATAAACCAAGAACCACGAGTTGTGTTTCGCCAGGAGTAGAATCCTAAAAATAAGGTTTTACTACAACTATTTTTATTGGCTTTAAATCACACTCAAATAACTTGAAAATTTACAAAGTGAAGTTGTTAAAATGCACTTTTTAAAAAAAGTTATTTATTAGAGTACAAATTGACAAGAATAACATGTATTAATACATTTCATGAAGTCTATTGGAGGTGAAGATGAGATTGATGAAAGATCTTTGGTAAAATATATCAATAACTTGTGTCTATCACAAATAAAAGACCATAAGGAATATGAACTAAATAATCTAAATTTTCTTTTAACAACATAGTTAGTGCAAATTGTTACTTGTATTATTTAGTGATGACAGAACAATGGCAATTTAGAACGTTGCTTGTTCTTATTTTATCAACAAGCATTGCTTCAATCTTTTTAAATTTTGGAAATAATCGAATTTTTTCTAAAGAAAGGTCTGCTGCTATTTTCTTCTTTAGGTGCCGTTTCACCACCCCCGCAGGTTCTTAAACCAGGGGTTACGTCTTCTTTCTATGGACTTCTTTCTCAGAATTATTCCCTGCATAATTTGAAAAAGTTGGTACTTTTTCCCTGGCATGATATAACCCCTAATAATATAATGACCTTCTCTGTTTGATCGTCAGTACTATCTCTCTATCCTTCTGCATGCGTCTCATCACCTCCACATTGGTCACTTTCTCTAATTGACTTAATCTTTAACATTCGTCTGTATATCCATGTCTCAAATGCCATCAATCGTCTTAAATGTCATCATTCTCAGCTTCTTCATTCCATTAAACGTGCTTCTAGCCTATTCAGCGCACCTCTTTGGAGCTGTCGTTGTTATCATTAATCTTTGTGCCTAAGTATTTAAATTCTTTTACTCTTTCAATAGGTTGATCTTTTACATACATTATATTATTGTTTCTTGTTGTTTTAGTAACTATTCTATTAATTACTTCACCAAGTGTTTTATTTATTATGTGCTCTAAGTATAGGTTAAATTTATTATTGGTGAAAGTAAACATTCTTCTCAAACTCTTCTTTGAATTTCTATTTTATCAGAAGTTAAATCTTCTACATATTATATTTCTGTCTTTTGCCCATAATAGAGGTTAAAGATTATTCTTATGTTTCTGAGATCAATTTTATTATTATTCTAGCTGCTAAATCTTGCTCATCGCGATCAATTATAATAAATTATAAGTTTGATTTAGTTTTATGTAATTTTTTCCTTTACAATACTTGTCAAGGTTAAATTTTTAGGGTTTTTGTTGGTACATATAAAATTTATGATTCTGGTAACATTTTTAATAACTAAATAGTTGAGGTTAAGAATTTTCTATTTAATTTCAATTATTCTATATGTTAAAACAGCTACTGAATCTTCCTCATCGCAATTAATTATAATAAATCATAAGTTTGATTTGGGCTTTTATGTACATTTTTTGTTGTATATCTGTCAATTGTAATTTTTAGGGTTTTTGTTGGTACCTGTAAAATTTATGATTCTGGTAACATTTTTAATAACTAAATAGTTGAGGTTAAGAATTTTTTATTTAATTTCAATTATTCTATATGTTATAGCAGCTATTGAATCTTCCTCATCGCAATTAATTATAATTAATAAGTTTGACTTTTATGTACATTTGTTTTGTATATCTGTCAACGTTAAATTTTTACGAGTTTTGTTGGCACCAATAAAAGTTATGTTGTATTTGTAGTGACGCTTTTAGTTTTAAGAAATTTTTATTTTATTCCAATCATTTATGAATAAATATAAAACGAAAACTGAATTTTATATTTTTGAATAATGAAAATTGATTGAAAACATGATATAACAAAATTCCCTGTTAATCTTGTCAATTTGACAATAATTTGACAGCTACTATAAGAAAAAAAAACTGGATTTACTTTATAGGATCTCTTATCATTATAAATGGATTGAAATAATCATCTAAAAACTATTAAATTGTAATAAAAAGTCGGATCGAAGAATATTATATATATGTATTACATTATAAATATTATATATATACAGGGTGAGTTATTAGTATCCCGGCGGACGATAATTGCTAAACCGTTTGAGAAAGAAAAAAATGTTTTATACAAAAGTTATTTGACTCACCACTTTCTATTACGTAAAATCATTTTCACTTATACAGGGTGTTCCATTTAGGAGTAACGGAGAGTATATTTTATCATATTATGAATAGCATTAAATTTGTTTATACAGCCGTATATGTTACAAACTCATAGCGTTCATAGTTCTTAAGATATTCAATTGTTTTTCCAAAATGTGTCCATTTTAAAAACGATGTAAAAACATTTTTTCTAATTTTGCCTTGAAATTATGTCAGGTAATAGTCAAAGCCAGTAGGTAAATGATATTAGATATGCTATACAGCGTGTTCATAAAACTTAGTTACTTTTGATGTTTTTTTAAATGGCTTTTTCATAAGTTTAATATACAGGGTGTGTCAAATGTCTGGAATATAGCCAATAAGTTCGCCATTTGTGGTTTTAAAGAAAAATGTTTCAAATACAAGTTTCTTTATTAATCATGGCGCATTTTTTGGCGATATTTGCTTGTTTGTATTGTTTTTTGTTTCGTTGCTATGGCAACCAGCATTGTTATTTTAAATGCGATGCATATATTTTTTTTGCATACTTTGATAGAGGATAAGTCCCTCTATGCGATGAACATATCAAATCATAAAATTGTATAAGAAAAAAATCGAGAAAAAATCAGCTAATTTCAATCAAAGTAAGCGCCGAAATAACGCCGTTGACAGCTTTAAATGTCAAAAAATTACATATAATTACATTAATCGCGTAAAGAGCATCCCATTTAAAATAACAATGTTGGTTGCCATAGCAACGAAACAAAGAATAATGCGCCATTTAAATAAATTTATGTACTCTCCGTTACGCTTACATGGAACAGCCTGTATAAGTTAAAATAATTTTACGACATACAAAGTCATGAGTCAAACAATTTTTGTATAAAATATTTTTTTGTTTTTCAAACGGTTTAGTAACTATCGACCGCCGGGATAGTAATAAGTCAGCCTGTATATATATATATATATATATATATATACAGGGTGTCTCACGTAACTAATTCGTTAGAACTTTTTCAGGTTCCACTATTCGTAGAGATTTGAAATTTTGGTAGCATGGGTTGTTCATTCGGATCTTTCGATCTAAAATATTTTCAAGATGGCCGCCACTTCCGGTCTACCGGAAATAGACCATAACTTCGCTATTTTAAACTGTACGAATACTGGAACCTAAAAAAGTTCTAACGAACCAGTTACTTGAGACACCCTGTATATATACAGGGTGGTTCAGTTTTTAATCGGGAACTATCTTTACTAGGATGTAGTACTTGCCAAAATAACACAAGTTTTTTATATAAACATAGGGTCGCAACTCTTTTGTTTTCAAGCTATGAGCTGTCAAAGTTGAGCCAAAAATTTACATTTTATCTTTTATTTCGGGTATAAGTAAACCGTAGAATTTGAAATTTTGTATGTATGTACTACTGGTTAATACCTTATTTTCAACCATACCTTAAACTTCCCTAGCGCCCTCTAAGGGGATGAAATTCACAACACCTTTGATTTTTTTATAACAACTTTTTAACGCCATGGAATATTAACATAAAAAAAATGGGTTGTAAAGCTTATTCATTATTAGTACTTTTTTGTCTCTTTAGTTTTTTCCTTAAAGATAATAGTTTTAGCGTAAAAAAATTAATTTACAAGTTCTCAGAGCCAACTTTTAGAATAATTTTAACTCAATATGGCGGTACATGGCACGATATTTTATTTTTTTACACGGAAACTATTAATTTTAACGAAAATACTAAAGAGACAAAAAAGTACCGCTAAAGAATGAGCTTTACAACCCATTTTTTTTTATGTTAATATTCCATAGCATTATTTTAGGGTGGTGAGTTTCATCCTCTTAAAGGGCGCCAGGGAAGATTAAGGTATGCTTGAAAATAAAGTCGTAAATAGTAGTAAATACGTAGAAAGTTTCAAATTCTACAGTTTACTTACAACTGAAAAACAAAACAAAATGTAAATTTTTGAGTCAACTTTGATCGCTCATACCTCGAAAACAAAAGAGTTGCAATTTTGGCAAGTACTACATCCTAGTAAAGTTTATAGATTAAAAACTGAACCACCCAGTATATAGCGAAGTTTCTAATCAAACATATTTGATGACTAAACGATCCACCAAACAATTTTATTCTATAGAAGTCTGTTGTAAAGACTATTGTCACAATACAGGGTGTCCCGTTAAGCGTACGGAGCGGCTGTATCTCAATAACGGTAAGGACTAGAGGTTTGGGAAAAAAATCCTTATAAGTAAAGTGGGCAAGAGAAATAGCTGGAAATTATTTTGAAGTTCGTAATTCGCCCCCTAGCGGTCGTAACTGCCATAGAGAAACATAAAATTCCTGCTATCTCAGAAAGTTAGACGATGAGCTATAACTTTGACAACATCATTTAGTAGCTTGGATAATACCGCATCGCTTTTGTTTTGCAATATTTTTTATATCTGTCATAATAAGGGAGGGGGAGGCCAATGCGTTTTCAAATATTTACATTTTAATATCTCCTGGACCATTCAACCGATTTGAATATTTTTGGTGTTGTTTGAAAGAGCATTTCATGCTCTTTTAAAAGATATTTTCAGAAAGACCGCTTGGTTTAAAACAAATAAGCTAGAGGGCGTTATCTGCAGCGGTTACATATTTTTATGATTTTTGGAAAAAAGTTAAATGGAACGGTATTATTTACTTCACAGACCNGTAACCAAGTCAACTGGATTGACAGCAATAAAAACATGGTATCAGCGGTTCTCAAAAAACAAACACCAGTTTTTGAGTGATTTAACAAATTTTTAAATAGCCGTAACTGCCATATTACAAAGATTTTATTATTGGTGCTAATCAGGCATTGCTTAAGTAACCCCGAAATATTCGCAGTTTGAATTTAAACGTAGTGTAATACCGTATATCGTAAGAAATGCTTGGCAATTAATTCAACTTTAATGCTCTATATCTTTGTGATTATTACGTTGTTGTAGTCAAAACATTATTAAGAAAATATCTTCAGTTTGGCCCCTAGTGCTTGCTCTTTTAATCTGCTCCGTATGTTATAAATCACCCTGTATAAAGTTACACTTTTGATATCTATAGCCTAACATATACTTTCGTATACATCTATTAAATCACAAAAAATTACCATAAATATATTGAATTTTAGCGAAATCGTGTGACCGTATCAGTCATTTGTAATTTTTTATATGTAAGTATATTTACAAAGTTTTGAATTCACTACGTACGTCAATTTTAAATTCAAACCATCTACTATTTATCAACTACATTAATTGCAGAAACCTTTTTTTAACAATCTCTGTAAACGACATTGATAGGGTAAGGGCAGGCCACTTCAGGTTCTTTATCATTAATTTCGTTTTAGACCATACGTTTGTTGTTATTTATTATTATTTTGTATTACTTTGAAACATTTTAAAACTTGCAAATAAAACTGGAAAATAAAAAGATGTTATTTCAAATATGATGAATTTCTTAGTTTTAGGAGACAATTTCTCAGAGATCAAGAAAAATATTTAAATGAATAACATAAGATTTTAAGGGGACAGAGAAATAGTTAGCATAATGACTTCTGTGGAGAAAAATTATCTTTTGATGTAAATTCAGCCTTGAATGTGCTGAAAAATCGTGTTTTTCGCATATTTTAGGTAAGATATCTTGAAAATCTTAGGTGATGAAATAATTCTGACGTCAGATTCGGATTTGGTTTAAAAATTTGTCGGCATGTGTAATCAGTGTGGCAAAGAGAAATTCAAAGCCAAACTGATCTCTGCAGTGACTTCCCATTTTATACCATTGCTATCAAAAAACCTTTTTAAACCACACCCCTATAGAAAAACTAATTTCATTTAAAATAACGAAGTTATGGTCTACTTCCGGTAGACCGGAAGTGGCAGAAAATATTTTAGATCGAAAGTTCCGAATGAACAACCCATCCTACCATAATTTCAAAACTGTATGAATCTAAAAAAGTTCTAACGAACCAGTTACGTGAGACACCTGTATATTAAGTGTCACAGACTCAGCTTTATTAAGGTTAAGAATCGTCTGAAATCATCAAAACCATACATTAAAATAAAAAGTGCGATTTAACTACTTCACTCTATAAATTAGTTGATCTTAATTGATTTCTTTTTTAATCTAGGATTTATTAAAAACGAAGTAAAAATATTTTTCATCCAAATTTTATTCATGCAAAAAAAAAATAACTTATTGCAAATAATACCATTGCACTTTTTTTTTACATAAAAAGGATCTATCACAAAGATTTATAAAAAATAATATCTTTATAAAAGGCACCAAAAAAAAGCATGCTTAATAATAATTAAAACAAAAATGAGAACTACATCAAAATACTTCTTCACATAAATATAGGTATACTAACTTAAACACATCTAAAAATTTTAAATACACTAACTTTTATTAAACGAGAATAAAAATGAGATGAATAGGAACGAAAACGAAAAAATTTTTGATTCATTTTTTGGTAAATTTAACAAGCCTTGTAAGCATAGATACCACGCACGGTATCTGTTTTTGACTATGCATCGAGAGCATGTGCGGAGTATTACTTTCGTAATTAATGGCGACGCGTTGCGAAACCATCGTCATTATCGTTAGGATGTCGTGCGTGAATCCGTTGATTTTTAGTTCTTCGATTAGCGATTGAATGAACCAAGAGCCCTCTGTTATGTTGCGCCACGAAAAGAACCCTATACATATAGAGTAGTGCACAAAAGCGATGCCACAATTATCATTGAATGTGTTTTTTATTTTTGTTAATTACAAATCAAAAAATTAATAAATAACATGCAAAAAGTAAAAAAAATCTAATTATTAAAATAGCTAAGAAAGATTAGTGCAAAGAAAAAAGGTTAGGGTGATTCTAAAATTAATTAAACTTACCTGGAATGGTAGAATAAGCGATCAAAAAATCCGCATGGGCTGGAATTCTATAAGAACAAGCGACCCCATCGGTTTCGGTTCTTTGTAAAGTTACACCGGGGTCTAATTGATCGCCTTGACAAGCTTGGATAAAAAAAAGTTTTGGTTTACCTTAAAAAAAATTTAAATCAATAAAAATTAATTTTTTAATTTAAAATTTTACCAGCAAGACTTGGAACTTTATCCGCGGTAAAAGCATTCCATAAAGTTTCGACTTTATAAAAATGATCTTTCGCATAAATCACGTCCCTTTCACCGTGACTAAGAACAACCATAATAAAACAATCGTTCTTGGAATGATCTCTTTTCGCAACTACAAAAAAAATTTATTAAAAAAAAAAAGTATATATAATTTTAATTTAATTAAATTTACGATTTCCAATTTGTGAAATAACTTTGGTGTACTCCAAATCGTGATAAACCTCGACATCAAAATGAAGCCTTTTCAATTCGGCAGCAAGATTTTCACAATCAACTTTGGTTCCGGTTCGAAGTTTCATTCCTTGTGCGCTGAAATGTTCGTGATTTAGGATAACGGCGACGCCACGTTTTTCATGTGTCATTCTGTAGTAGTGTTCGTTGCGATCTGTAGCCATAGGGGCTGTAAATTGAGCGGTTGGAAACCTGGAAATAAAATATAAATCGCAAAAATTAATTTTATTAAGTATTTTTACATAATTAGAGTTGTGAAGAATAATGTAATAATAAAGGTTGCGTCGGTTTATATGATTCTTTTAAGATCTATAAATGGTAAACAATATTAAAAAATGTAAATGGTATGACAGGAAGTTATAAAAAAAGAGTTAAGTACAAAGTAATTTGTTTTATTTATGTTACTGATGTTTTAATTATATTTTTAACAAGATTGAATATGTTATGTAGCAAAAGAAGAATTTATGATTCCATAAACTAATATGAAATGACTCTGATATGATCTGGAGCTAAAATGTTTATTGCTTTCTTACATCCATAAATAAGAGCCGACGTTCAATGATTATGGAAAAACTATAATGTTCCAAATTAACAGTTTTTTCCTATTTCAATTTATATCAAACTGACAAACTTATACAGTTTTTCAAAACGCAGTAATGATGCTGATCCCTAGTGCACAAATTCTCCATAGAAAATTTTCTTGCAAAAATATCTCACAATCAGTTGAAGTCAACGCCAACAGGAATAAATCCAAAAAATACATCAATAGTTATTTAATTTTTTCCCGAACCAACATAAATCACAAAAACTGGTGCCTAGAATGAGATATTCAAGTATGGCAAAGAATGCATATGGAGTATTTTTAAATTCCAAGACTTCCTGTAATAGAAATGGTATTCCAAACAATTTTATTGCACCAGAACTGTCTGCCACAAACGATTATGTTGCAACTTTAAAAAAGCAAAGTCTTAGAAATCAGAGAGGCGTTAAGAAGAGTAAAAAGCTTTAATTAAGTGCTTTTAAAAAGATTTATAACTTAAATCTTTTAAAAGCAGCAAGATTTAGAGCAACACCACCAATCGAATCAGACAAAACTCCATCAAAATTATTTATATAGAGAAATTTAAAAATTAATCCTAAGCTCAGAGTTATACCTAGAAGAGAGATGATGATTAATATACAGGGTGTATCTGAATGACTGCAACAAACTTCAAGGGGTGATTCTTTAGTGAATTTTAAGGGTACTTTGATATATGAACCATGGGCAACTTCGGCTCCCCTAAGGAGCTACACCCCTCCAAAAATGGCGGAAAATTTTGGTTATTATTATTTTACAGGAAATCAACAAATTAGTTAAAGGTATAAAAATTTATTGAAGTTTATTCAATGTTGTCAAAGTAGTTTTGTTATTAAATGGATTATAATAAAATCATCTTACTAGCTATGGCTTTCTACAGCAGAACAGAACTCTGGATGGTATTTGTCGTAAAAACAAACGAAACACAAATTTCGACGGCACCAAGCACATTTTATGAAGGCTGCTGCTTTGCAGGCGCACGGATTTTTAAGGAGCGAGATCGGGAAACACATTTCATTCAAATTCATGAAAATAGTTCTTTCCTCGATCAGCTTCGACGCGAACCACGCGTATTTTAACATATTCGAAAAACCAGGTGCACTGAATTGATGTAAAATCAATGAATAAATCTTTATCAAATCTTCCCTGGAAGCGATTTCTCTGTTATTCTTCAATAATTCAGGAGCATTTTGGAGTTTCTTGGTGAAAATTTTAACCTGTCTGTAAAAATATACGTCAAGGGGTTGGCAAAATGGCGTGCACTTGGGTGGAATAATCTTTACAGTGCAGGTGCAAGCTTTTCTTTCATCCACGAACATGTGATCGTATAGTGTGAGATCAGTTTGCCCTCCCCAAGAATCGATTATGAACAAGAATCGCTCTTGTTCCATGTATGGTAGAATAACTGATTTCAAAAATTCTTCGTATAGAAGCTTCGTGAACTTCCCTGATTTGGAGCAGGTTACAATTACATTTTTGAATTTACGACCTAATTCATCAATCCTTTTCTTGACAATTGGACCAAAATGTCCGGACGGTTTTTGCATACACAAGAAAACGTACGCGAGTAATTTTCGTGACGCAGTCATGGAGTACTGTGCAGTGTAGGAATGACTAATCTTATTCAAATCCTTTTTCTGCACAACAACGGTCTTCGCTCCCTTCTCCGAGAGGGATCTGTTGTACGTTGATTGGTACTGGCAGCCGGTTTGGTCCGTATTGATGATGTAATCGAGCTCATGATTCGCAATTAGCAATTTCGTCTGTATGCGAAATTCTTCCGCAGCTGTTTGCACTTCTTCCATCCTTGCAACTTCTTTGGAGCTGACAAATTTCGTGATCTTCCGCTGCCTAATCTTATATATTTTGTTAAATCGTTCAACCCAAGCCGAGCTAGCCACGAACCTAAAGTTGTCCGATAGAAATGGGAAAGCTGCGTTCATTGCCTGTTATTGATTATTTATTGAATTATTGTTGATTTCCTGTAAAATAAAATTGAAAAAAAGTCACGAGAATGAATCGAACACGGGACCTCCAGCGTGGTAGCAGCGAGCCTTAAACGCTACGCCACACTCGCTTGGTTGTAACAGAGTCCAATTACGGGTATAGAAAATATTTTTCAAGAACTTCAAAATCAATTTTTTCAAAAACCAAGGCCCGTAGCATGAAAAGCGGAAAGCCGGGTACTTTGGGTAGGAACCCCTACAACATATTTGAAGCGCGTCAAAATCCGTGATTCTCAGGTTTGATGGTCCCCTTGTTAATAGGCTTTGCAATCTTTGTCAGAAATATTTTTGACGTTTAAATGTCAGTGGTTTTCGTACGATTAATATTGTTTTATTTAAAATTTTGAAACGTAGAGTGAACGAGCGTAAATGCGATAGAACTTCATTCAAAAATTAATTTGAAAAACAATAATACTGACATTTAAACGTCAAAAATATTTCTGACAAAGATTGTAAACCCTACTAAGATTTCTTCATTAAAAATTCATTCCAACTTTTGATCGACAACCCCGTTGTTTGCTTTAGTATTTTTTTTTCTCAAAAATTAGTCGTTTTTGGAAAAATGTTAGAGACACAAAATAATTTTAGGACACTTTCATCTACCTATGTAAAATTTTTCTAATGTATTAATCATCTGCATAAAAAAGTTTTAACAAAAATGTAACGAGGGTGGTTATGTTTAGTAGTTTAGAAGGGTAGGTTGAAAGTACAAATAGAGTCAAAACGTGCTCTATTATGAGTTAAACATATTCCCCAAATTTTATTTTCCTAGTTTTTATGGTTTTTGAGAAAAACAAATTAAACCAAAATTTTCCGCCATTTTTGGAGGGGTGTAGCTCCTTAGGGGAGCCGAAGTCGCCCATGGTTCATATATCAAAGTACCCTTAAAATTCACTAAAGAATCATCCTTGAAGTTTGTTGCAGTCATTCAGATACACCCTGTATAATTAAATGTCAAGCAGAGGAAATGTTAAAAAACTGGAGTGTTAAGCGGCGATATATAACATAAATTGACGGTTATTTTATGTTTATTAAATAAAATTGTAAAGAAAATAATTGATAGGTAAGGTTATTTTGTTTATTGCAATACTTTAAAAAATCAAACCAACTTTATTTATATAGCTAATTAAAATATATTTTATAAAGTGATTATAGAATTTCCAGAGTTTGATAAAAATATTTTTATGAATTGAACACTACAGACGACCAGTAAGAACATATTAAAAACATGGAAAACCCACTATGAGGAAAAATTTAAACAAGAGGATACAGAAGAAGAGGAGGAGAGTCGAGAGGAGGAAGAAGATATAGAGGAAGAGCAGATAATCGAGGAAGAAGTGCAAATGTCCCTAAGCGAAACACGAAACGGAAAAGCAGCAGGTGACGACAGTACCACTAAAAAGAGGAGGTCCGAAAGTAGTACAGTGGCTGAGGAAAATATTCCAGCAGACATGGAATACTGAATCAATACCCCATGAATGAGAAAAAAATATACCAACAACTGCAAAAACTACAGAGCAATCTGTTTGCCGCCGGTTGCACTCAAACTCTACACAAAAATTCTAGAAAAACGGCTAAGAACCTAGATAGAAGAAAAACTCAAAGAGGAACAAACGGCGTTCTGACCAAACAGACAAACACAGGACAGGAATACGGATATATTTGGCTATCCTAGACCTAAAAGCAGTTTTTGACCAGGTACCGAGACAACATATATTAAAAGCTTTAAGCGATCTGGGGATAAGTTCAAAACGAAAAAGACCAATCAAAAGCGTATATCATATCGTAATGGGAAGGGTTAGATTGAATGGAAAGACGTCAGAAGAGTTCAGATAGGAAAAGGGAGTGAAACAGGATGACAGTTTAAGCCCACTACTCTTTGTAGCATACATGGACAGAATAATAAAGCAAGTCAAAAGAGAAAGTACGCAGACGAGACTGTGGTACCAAAACCCAACCCCGATCTACACACCAGACCTTATACACGCAGACGATGTTGTACTAATGTCAGGCGGAGTAGATGTCCTACAAAGAAACATCAACATATGGAATACCTGCCTACAAGAAAATGGAATGGTAATAAACAAGAACAAAAACTAGGTTACGGGAGATATTGACTTTAGAATAGAAGAGCAACGACTGGAGGTGGTAGACAAATACGAATATCTGGAACCATAATAAATAAGTGAATACAATAAGTAAGTAACTAAAGCAAAAATACAATTATATAAAAGCATCCATGTATATACCCACACTTAATTGTGGATCAGAAACATGGACAATGTTAGACAAGCACAAATCGAAAACCACAAAAGATAAGGTACGGAACAAAAACATCAAAGAAGAACTAAGCTTAACCGCTTGGTACACAGCGTTGCCAACCCTACCGATTTATCGATATAGAAGATAGTCTACCGATATTCCACTTAATCTATCGATTTTCAAAATTTTAACAAAGTATTATGAAACACATCGTACTTAAAATCAATACAATTGTGACAAAAATTGTACCTTATGGGAATACTCTACTTATATTGCATAAAAGTATATACCAACGATATGGCAATGTCGCTCGAGCAACGTTGCCATATCGTTGGTATGTACAGTACATGTCATAATGCCTAATTTGAAAACGGTTCAAAATATAATATTGTCAAAATAGATATTGACACATCTAAGAGCAAAAAAAGTTTTTATTTGTCATAAAAGTTTTCTTATAGCAAGCTCCGATTCTCATGTGTTACCTTTAATAACTTGAAAGAGCAACAAATTCATATAATTTTCATATTTTCGTATCTCTCTCGATATTGAGATATCTAAGAGCAAAAGTGCAAGAGAGCAATATTGTTAACAATAAGATTTGCAACAATTTTTGACATAAAAGTTTTCTTATAGCAAGCTCTGATTCTCAACTGTTACCTTCAATAACTTGAAAGAGCAACAAATTCATAAATTTTTCATATTTTCGTATCTATCTCAATATTGACGTATCGAAGAGCAAAAGTGCAAGAGAGCAATATTGTTAAGAATAACATTTGCTACAACTTTTGTTCTAAAAGTTTTCTTATAGCATGCTCCGATTCTCAAGTGTTACCTTTAATAACTTGAAAAAGCAACAAATTCATAAAATTTTCATATTTTCGTATCTATCTCAATATTAACGTATCGAAGAGCAAAAGTGCAAGAGAACAATATTGTTAAGAATAACATTTGCTACAACTTTTGTTCTAAAAGTTCTTCTGTAACATGCTTCGATTCCTAAGCGTTACCCTCAATAACTTGAAAAAGTAACAAATTCATCAAATTTTCATATTTTCGTATCTATCTCGATATTGACGTATCTAAGAGCAAAAGTGCAAGAGAGCAATATTGTTAAGAATAACATTTGCTACAACTTTTGTTCTAAAAGTTCTTCTGTAACATGCTTCGATTCCTAAGCGTTACCCTCAATAACTTGAAAAAGCAATAAATTCATCACATTTTCGTATCTATCTCAATATTGACGCATTTAACAGCAAAAGTGCAAGAGAGCAATATTGTTAACAATAAAATTTGCTACAACTTTTAGTGTAAAAGTTTTTTTGTAACACGCTCCGATTCCTAAGCGTTATCTTTAATAATTTGAAAAAGAAACAAATAACAAGTTAGACTATGGCCAGAGATAGGAAGATGTATAAAAGATGGATCCAAAACGCAACACCGTAAGGTATAAATGATGGCAAGAGAAAAAAGAAAATAAAAAAATTTAAAAAAAAATGCATTTTAGGTTGAAATGTCAAATAAAGGAAATTTTAAAAAGCAACCTAACTTTTATTTCGGATGTAAAACAGCGATATATAACATAAATTGAAGCTAAAATATGCTATTTTATGATATGATTAAAAATATATAGGGAAAAATGTTGCTTTTTAGGTTATGTTGAAATGTCAAAAAATCACCGTAACTTTATTTCGAGGTGTTAAGCACCGGCTTATAACTTAAATTGAAGCTAAAAAGCTTTATTTGATGATAATGTATAGAAAAATAATAAAATAACAACATAAGAATTTTCAGAAATAAAATTGTAAAAAAGAAATTGACAGGTAAGGTTATTATTGTAATTATCAAAAAACTTTAAAAACTAATACCAACCTTTTCTTTATTACAGAGGCAATTATTGTATTTTATATGTTTAAAAAGATATATAAGGTTTGATAAAAAAGAAATTTAAAAAAAACTCTTGAAGGGGAAAATTTTTAGGTTATATGTCAAAATTAACTGGGGTGGTTTAAACTCTACTTCTCTGCATTTCTATATTGATACCTTATTTCGCAAACCAATATACGAAAATGTATAATAACATTATCTTATTCAAAAATTAATTATTTCTTTGTCAACAATTGTGATTCCATTTCTTTTCTGAGTTATATTCAAATTCTTCAAACAACTCCGACTTATAAGTAATATGTATATTTGAAATTGTATTTAAGACACTGCTTTTCTATTTTATTAACTATATTAAGTCAATTTGTAAAGGTTAGAAACGCCAATTTTTAAATTGACAGTTCAATTAGAATGTACATAACCTTACTTATTATTATTTGAAGGAAAATGTTATACAGTCCGGTCATAAAATATAACTTCTAGGGTGGTATTCTATAAAATTCTGAAAAAAACTATAAAAAGAATTAACTCTACTTATATTTAATTCAATGACAAATTTAAAAAATAATTACTCTTTATAACAAAAATCATATTAATATTGGATTTCTTATCAATATTTTTTTATTAAATCTAAACAAAGAACATCTAACACGTTCTAAATAAAGTAACTAAGTGACTCAAATCTGTCAATATTTACTATTTTAATAAATCAACCTTTATTTTACTCTAGAAATATTCAAAAAGAACATAAAATGTATCTAAACGTCTATAACATGGTTAATTAAAATAACAGACAACAATTAAATCTCATAAACAAACTTAAAAGAACAAATTTAAAGCATGATGTAATTCATTCATCACCCAAAACAAATAAATAAAAATCACACCATCTCTTAATAAAAAGATTTTACCAATAAAAAATGAATGAATCGTTTCTTTGGGAACTTAAATTAATGAAATAACTACATAAATGAATTAAAACTTACCTGGTATTACCCAAGGCATCGTTTTCATCCACAGCCTTGCCATTGTGGTATTTGGTTTCGGTTGAATTTCCGTTACAAACCGTCTCGGATGCCATTGCGTCCTTTAACACCACGTACGAAGATTATCATTAAGCACCAAAATTAAGGATATATCTTAAGAGTATATCGACCCGTTTTACTTTTCCCTTTGTTTTAATATATCACGCAATTTCCTCTCAAACTAAACCACTTTTTTCCACTGCGATTTCTGTTGTGTTGAGCGTTATCGATTAGCTCGTCTTATCTAATCACCTTATGTCACAACAAACAAATATCCTATTCGAACATATTCATATCAAAATTTAATTATTACCGTTTTAATTTATTATGTTAATACTTAATTTTGTAATTTTTCGTTTTAACACCTTTAAATTAAACAAATTTAAATTTGAAATTAGGTATTTTGATTATTGGGTTTTTTAAAAAGTTGGGTTGGTTAAAAGTTGTGGTGGGATAACAGTGATTTGGCAACGTAGTTTATTAGAGACGTAATTTAAAAGTAATTTTTGATCCCAACACGAGTAATTTTATTTAAATGCAAACATTAATTTTCATTTTAATCTAAATGAAATTAATAAAGGGGTTAAAAATTGATGGTTTTGTTAAATTTTCTTGATTTTGTTATTAAGAATAAAGAATAACTATATTGGGGTCAAACATTTTCGTTGACAGTTAACGTAAATCTACATTGTTGCCAATTTCTCAGTAGTGGTGAATTAACGGTTAAAAAAGCAGGTATAAATACAGTTTCGTAACGTTTTCGCGCGTTATTCCCAACAAGATCGTCTCAACGCACGAACTCGTTCGCACTTGATTAGAAGTCTCGAAGAAAAAACTCAACGTTGAGAAGATGACTGGTCGTGGAAAAGGTGGAAAAGTGCGTGGAAAGGCCAAGTCTCGGTCAAATAGGGCAGGGCTTCAATTCCCCGTTGGTCGCATCCACCGTTTGCTTCGTAAAGGAAACTATGCCGAACGCGTTGGAGCTGGGGCCCCCGTTTATTTAGCGGCTGTCATGGAGTACCTCGCCGCGGAAGTTCTCGAGTTGGCAGGAAACGCCGCCAGGGACAACAAAAAGACTAGGATCATCCCCCGTCACTTACAACTCGCAATTCGTAACGACGAAGAGTTAAATAAGTTATTGTCCGGGGTTACGATCGCCCAAGGTGGAGTTCTACCCAATATCCAGGCGGTGTTATTGCCGAAGAAAACTGGAACAAACACATCCGGGGCTAAAGGAGCCAAAACTGCTTCGCAAGATTATTAAGATTATTTCTTTTAGAACGTAATTAACTTGTATTATTTTTCTGTGTCCTACATCTTCGACAAATTTAGTATTTTTCTTTAATTTTTGGAATAATCTTAATTTGTAAAAAAATACTAAAAGATTCTTGGGCATTTATTATTATTAAAGTGATCGAAAAATATTTATCTTTTCATTTTAAACCTTTCGAAATTAATTTGTGTATCAATAAAAATAGATTAAATGTAAAATATAAGATTTAAAAAAAAAGTTAATTTAGGTTATAAATGTCAAAAAATGAAACGTCAAAAAGTCACCCTAATTTTATTTGGAGGTTATATCGATGCTAAAAGGATTTATTTTATTAAAAAAGTATGCAAATGATGTGGTTTGGTAATAAAAATTAATTAAAAAAATTTTGAAAGAAAAAGTCCATTTTGGGTTGTGTTGAAATGTCAAGATGAAGAAATTTCAAAAAAAAAATCATTTTAACTTTGTTGTGGCGAATTAATATATAACTTAAATTAAAGCTAATAGTTTATTTTATGATGTATGCAAAAGATTTGTGTTAATTATAAAAATTTTCAGAAATAAAATTAAGAATAAAGTTGACAGGTTAGGTTATTTTTGTTTGTCAAAAATTAAGAAAAGATGTTATATTTTACTTTTAAATTTAATATAATGATTAAATTAAAGCTAAAATATGATATTTTATGATGGAATTAAAAAATAAAGAAAATGTGTTAAAAAAATCTTGAATGAAAGAATTCTATTTCAGGTTATGTTCAAATGTCAAAATGGGGAAATTTCAAAAAATCATTTCAACTTTAATTTTGGGTGTTAAACGGCGATATATAACTTAAATTAAAGCTAAGAAGGTTTATTTTATGATGTTATATGCAAAAAATGTGGTTTGATAATAAAAATTTCCAAAAAAAAATATTAAGAATAAAGTTGACAGGTAAGGTTATTTTTGTTTGTCAAAAATTTAAAAAAATGTATTTCTATTTTACATTTAAATTTAATATAATGATTAAATTAAAGCTAACATATGATATTTTATGATGGGATTAAAAAATAAAGAAAATGTGTTAAGAAAAAAATTTGAATGAAAGAATTCTATTTCAGGTTATGTTGAAATGTCAAAATGGGAAAATTTCAAAAAAACATTTCAACTTTAATTTTGGGTGTTAAACGGCGATATATAACTTAAATTAAAGCTGAGAGGGTTTATTTTATGATGTTATATGCAAAAATGTGGTTTGATTATAAAAATTTCCAGAAAAAAAATATTAAGAATAAAGTTGACAGGTAAGGTTATTTTTGTTTGTCAAAAATTTAAAAAAAATATTTCTATTTTACTTTAAAGTTTAATATAATGATTAAATTAAAGCTAAAATATGATATTTTATGATGGGATTAAAAAATAAAGAAAATGTGTTAAGAAAAAAAATCTTGAATGAAAAAATTCTATTTCAGGTTATGTTGAAATGTCAAAATGGGGAAATTTCAAAAAATCATTTCTACTTTAATTTTGGGTGTTAAGCGGCGATATATAACTTAAATTAAAACTAAGAGGGTTTATTTTATGATGTTATATGCAAAAGATGTGGTTTGATAATAAAAATTTCCAGAAAAAAAATATTAAGAATAAAGTTGACAGGTAAGGTTATTTTTGTTTGTCAAAAATTAAAAAAAAATATTTCTATTTTACTTTTAAATTTAATATAATGATTAAATTAAAGCTAAAATATGATATTTTATGATGGGATTAAAAAATAAAGAAAATGTGTTAAGAAAAAAAATCTTGAATGAAAAAATTCTATTTCAGGTTATGTTGAAATGTCAAAATGGGGAAATTTCAACTTTCAACTTTAATTTTGGGTGTTAAACGGCGATATATAACTTAAATTAAAGCTAAGAGGATTTATTTTATGATGTTATATGCAAAAAATGTGGTTTGATAATAAAAATTTCCAGAAAAAAAATATTAAGAATAAAGTTGACAGGTAAGGTTATTTTTGTTTGTCAAAAATTAAAAAAAAATATTTCTATTTTACTTTTAAATTTAATATAATGATTAAATTAAAGCTAAAATATGATATTTTATGATGGGATTAAAAAATAAAGAAAATGTGTTAAGAAAAAAAATCTTGAATGAAAAAATTCTATTTCAGGTTATGTTGAAATGTCAAAATGGGGAAATTTCAAAAAATCATTTCTACTTTAATTTTGGGTGTTAAGCGGCGATATATAACTTAAATTAAAACTAAGAGGGTTTATTTTATGATGTTATATGCAAAAGATGTGGTTTGATAATAAAAATTTCCAGAAAAAAAATATTAAGAATAAAGTTGACAGGTAAGGTTATTTTTGTTTGTCAAAAATTAAAAAAAAATATTTCTATTTTACTTTTAAATTTAATATAATGATTAAATTAAAGCTAAAATATGATATTTTATGATGGGATTAAAAAATAAAGAAAATGTGTTAAGAAAAAAAATCTTGAATGAAAAAATTCTATTTCAGGTTATGTTGAAATGTCAAAATGGAGAAATTTCAAAAAATCATTTCTACTTTAATTTTGGGTGTTAAACGGCGATATATAACTTAAATTAAAGCTAAGAGGGTTTATTTTATGATGTTATATGCAAAAGATGTGGTTTGATAATAAAAATTTCCAGAAAAAACATATTAAGAATAAAGTTGACAGGTAAGGTTATTTTTTTTGTCAAAAATTAAAAAAAAAAAATTCTATTTTACTTTTAAATTTAATATAATCATTAAATTAAAGCTAAAATATGATATTTTATGATGGGATTAAAAAATAAAGAAAATGTGTTAAGAAAAAAATCTTGAATGAAAGAATTCTATTTC